AGGCTGAAGTTCAAGTCATGGAAAAAGAGCATAAGTCTAAAGCCATGAATGAATACAGGCAATTAATTTGAATCCAGCAACTGGTATGGTCCTATTACCTTTCATGCTATAAAATTTAGAGGAGGGGTAAGAAAAGAGAGAAAAGAGAGAGTGAATGAGAAATGTAATGGAAGTCAGAAATATGAAGAACATTGTGGCTATTGTTTGGATTTGAAGGTCAAGCAGTTCTTCATCCTACTATAAAAATGTCTAACTCTGGGCGGTCTTGCATTCTAGAAATTTGTATTCATTTCATTGCCTTTTGAGAATCTGACCCAGACCCGGTTATTGTAATATAATCATCTGTAGAAATCTGTTTTTATCCTAAAGATAATCAGACCACAGGAACATTTCAGCTTTATTATGTAGAGGTAAGTAGTCATGTATATTGATATAAATTCTCCCATCTTTTTTTCTTTTCATGTATTAAAATAAATATATAAGAAGAGCATCAGTTCATAAAGTAATTTTTCAATATCTTAAGTAATGTACTGATAGTGATTACTAACAATGTTTTTTTCTTTATTCAAATAAAGCTACATTAGAGATTATGATGAATTCAGGAAAAAAGGCAGATCTGAAAATTTATAAATAAATAAGTAGAATGAAAATTAGAATTGACTCATTAGGAAAGATCATGATTCTTCTTCCCTAATTAGTTGGTGGGATACTCTGATTAAAGAACATCAATTATAATTTCATTTCATCTTTTGCTTGTGTTATTAAATTAAAAAGAAATATATGAAATGGACTTTATAATAATTGTCTTGAATTTTATAAGGCTGTTTTTTGGAATTGTATCATAAGAGAGTGTAATCTATTTATAATTGATCACTATGCTGCTTGAAGTTATATGAAATGATTTTCCCATTCAGAGCATCTATACGCTTAATGCTTAGTGTCTACACTATCTTATAATGGTGATAATAGTACTTATTGAGCACAAACTATTTGATTCACTCTATGATCAGGATATCTTCCATTTTGTCATTAAACAGATCATAGACACTAAATTGTTTGGTGAATCTTGAATAAACAGAATGTTTGTTTAATCACCTTTCAAATTTTAGAATAAAAATTTCATTAGAGTGCTTGTCTGAAATGGCACTTTTGATTACAATCGTAATTACTTCTCTTTACGTTTGACACAGATGTAGAGGTTAGAAGTAATGTCTCAACCAGAAAAAACCTGAATTATCACCCAAAAAGAATTACAAGCTTTAGCCTGTTAAGATTCAGCATAGTCAAATTGGCTCTGTAGAGATTTAGATTGTTCTTTAATGTTTGTTGTTATTTGTCTAAATATGAATATAGCAAGATGTGAAAGGGTAGTGAAATATTAAACATCTCACTATTTTGAATATTTATTTTAATTCCAATTCTAACTTATGTCATGGTAAGAATTATAAAACAGATGCTGTGAAAAGAAACTCCTAAAATTCTGGAGGAGTGGAGTCGAGGTTGAAGTTAATTAATATCAGTTATAGCTGAATGTGTCTACATATAGGAAAAACAAAATAACAAAATTAAATAAGGAGACACAGTATTAGAGAATATGAGATCTATCTAGATTTAGAGAAAAGGTCTCTGATTTTAGGTATTTTTTTCCCTGGAAAGTGGTGAGATAACCTTAGCTTAGCAATCTGGAATTTGCTGTGACTCAGTACCATGATGGTCTCGAAAAGTCTTTTCTCAGTTATAAAGAAATATAAAGTTCCTGGTAGGGAGGAACATCTAAAGAAATTGGAGTAAAAAGGAATGATTAGGCAAAATCAAGTGTATTTGAAAGTGATGGAAAACACAGCTGCTAATCCATACTCCAGGAAAATATTGCCTTTCTGTTTAATGAAATGATCCAGCAGTAACATTTTTTTTAAAGTATAGTTTGTTTCCATTGTGATGTCATATGTAAACCACTCAAGACTTTTCTCTTAAGTTGTGTCTGTCGAGGAACCAGTGATTTTCCGTGAACAAATTTACAAAATTTAACCTGTAACATATTTTTCAATTGGGTGAATATTTTCATTGTTTAGAATTAAAATATAGAAAGGCATTACATTTATTATTTAAAATTTAGGTTACAGAAGTTGGCAAGCAAAAATAATATTTCACTGTTCTTAAAATGACATTATAATTAATATTAATGTAAATCAAAAAGCATATTGCTCTTCTTATTTATCCCTTCACCATGCAAATTTTTCAGTATGCTCCATCTGGACCTTAGTTTCCTACTTCTGGTCAAGAATATTGAACATATATTTACCTCTACTTATTCACACAGGTGATTGTGTGCTTAACTATGCAAACTGTTGTTCTAGGTGTTTTACATGAATTATCTAACTTCACCTTCATAATAGCTCTTAGAAGATATATTATTAACCCCATCTTCCAAAAACTGAGGCCCAGTTAGCATAAGGAATTCATCCTAGTTTGCATGACTAGTAAGTTCCGTGGTGATGCTTGTGTTCTGACCTATAACTGGATGACTCTATGTTCTGTAGATATAGTAGTTGTCTTCCTATAACTTCTTCCACTTGATGCTTAGAGCGCCCTTATGTAGTATCTGTGTGTTTCCAATTAAAATCTACCTTTGTGTCTTTTAAGGGATCTTCCTATTGATTAATATTTATATAATTGTCTTGGTTTAGACTCAGCGGCCTTTTTTTTCAGTTTGCCTAGCTCCCTATGTATTTGGCTTCTTTTGTATTAGGGTAGAATTATTACAGATTTTAGAATTGGAAGGAATGTTGGAGGGCATCTTCTTCTCTCTTTGATAATTATTATCTCTTTGAACGGCCATTCAATCAGTCAATGAACATACCCAGTAATGTAGCCCCTGCTTCTCGTAGTAGCCCTTTCCGACCTCAGCGCAGGGTACCTGAAATTTCAGTCTTTATTGACTCTCTGTAGCATTGATTATTTGCAGTTATTTGGACACTGGCAAGGGGATGAGGTTTAAATTCAGATATCATGTAGTGAATTCTGTTTTTTCTCTTTGGAGACTAATAGCTCTCATTTATCTCAGATATAACTCATATGAATGAAATCCCTTCCTTCCTTCCTTTTTTTTTTTTGGTGCAGGTGGAGGGTAGGATAAGGCTAGCCCAGTATTCTACTGTTTTTCATGAATGAATTAGAAAATCATCTTTTAATAATTTGTTAACAATTCTTGTATTTTTGTGTATTAGATAGATGAATGGATAGATAAATCAATAGATAGAAGTAGACATTCAATTTAATATTTACTGACTGGTAATAAGGAAAAGAAACCATGTGAGTTATGGATAGTGAGCTATTAATTCTATATTTCCTGATGTGAGGGAATGTTAATGCTGGTAAATAAGTCATTTATATGAATAATTGACAGTGTGATACAAGCAATAAGAGTAATTTAAGCAAAATGTTATAAAGAAATTATTTCTATGAGAATTTCTTGGAGCTTGCATTTGAACTAGCCTTAAGAATGGATATTTTTTTGTCAAGGTGATATATAGTTGTAGATGTAAGAAACAAGACAGCAAAGGCTAAAAAGTGGACATATGTAGAGCATGTTTTCCTTTAGGATACAGGACATGAGGGTGGAGTATTGGGTTAGGGTCTCAAATGGTAGTGACCTGGTCTTTAATGCTAAGTTAAGGAATTTGAACTTATCCTCCACTGAAATAACATTTTTGGTAATATGGAGAGGGCAGTAGGAGAAATTGTTCAAGCAGGGAAATTTGTCAAAGGGTTAATAACCTGGGGTCATGGCAGGGACAGAGGAAGGGTCTGCATTGCTGCTTCCTGTCCTTGGAAAACACATTCTATATTTTGTGGATGTTGATGAAAGGGTTCTACTCTGGGTGCTTTGGAAAAATCTGAATCATTGATTCAGGACACAGTTTTGGAGAATCCTCAACATTTTTATCCCATGGAAGGGGGTTTTTGGTGGCATATATACATAATTTTTATTGAAGTGGATAAAGAAAACCTCTTTGGTGATTATCGACAGCTGCCTTTCTAAAGCAAAAGTGGACTTACAATTAATGTTATTTTTTTTTGAAAATACTTTTCTCACTTAGGTGTAGGTCTAAAAGTTCAGTATTTGCCCCTTTAACAGTAAAAGCAAATAAAAGAATGCTAACAAACTGAAAAATTGAAGTCAGATAGTAAAATTCATATAACATGTTTTCAGAAAAACCTAACTTGGTTTCTCTATATACGTCAGTTACAAAATATTATAGAAGATTTAGATGGTAGAGTTAATGATTTAGTGGTCAATAAAACATGTAAAAATTCCTCAATGAAAAGAAGCCTCAGGGGCACCTGGGTGGCTCAGTCGGTTAAGTATCTGTCTTCGGCTCAGGTCATGATCTCAGGGTCCTGGGATGGAGCCCCACATTGGGCTTCTGGCTCAGCAGGGAGTCTGCTTCTCCCTGTCCCTCTGCCTCTCCCCCTGCTCATGCTCTCTCTCTCTCTATCTCAAATGAATTTAAAAAAAAAATCTAAAAAAAAAAAGAAGCCCTGAAACAACTAGGAGTTTAAACAGTGTTTCCCCCATACTACCTCTGCTCTTTTGGCCCCCTATGCTTATCCTTCTAGATAATGACTTGGAACAAATGAAACCCCTTAAAAAGTCTTTGTAAAATTAAAGACATTTTGTATACAATATTGAGCATTTCATTCTATCATTACATGCAAAGAGATTCCATCAGATCAGTTGTGTGGATGAGGTATTTCTATCCCTTTCTTTTGAAGGAATGTGTGGTTTTGAGTATGAAGCCAGCAAACTAATGAGTATGACTTCCATTTCAATGAAATGTAAAAAAAAAAAAGCTCCTGTATATTTCTTAGTACCATCATTAAGAAAAACCACCGTTTAGTAACTACAGCAGGAAGTAGTTAGATTGCCATGTACCAATAGCCCATGCTCATGTAGAACCTCACATTAACACCCAATGTCTTGCTTTGTTACCTTGCAGAAATGTTGGAATCCAACAATGTGATCACTTTCAGTGGCTTGGCCAACAGCTCCAGTTATCATACCTTCCTTTTGGATGAGGAACGGAGTAGGCTGTATGTTGGAGCAAAGGATCACATATTTTCATTCAACCTGGTTAATATCAAGGATTTTCAAAAGGTATCTTTATTCTAATATATACATTGTAGTTCTTTTAAAACATCTCAACCTATTTTACAGTTAAATTTCTAGCTATTTAACAGTGTGACAACTGGAAAAAAATTGTTAAAATTATTATTTTATCTTTTCAGATGCAAGTAAAAGTAATGCATTGATTTGATTATCACAAATAATGGATGCAGCAAACCATAAAAATCATCAAGGAAGAAATCATAGTATTTTCAATGATCGTTATAACTTCAGCTCATCCTTCCAGAGGATAAGCTGCAATTTTTGCTGCATAAAACTAAATATCTGAACCATTATAGACATATATCATAATTAATGTCATGTGTGAAATGATGTGTATATATGTATGTATAAATTTATACATCTCTCTATATTGCCAGCAAATTCAGAGTTCACCAACATTATACACATGCCTAATCTGGTGTGTCACCTGTTTTTGTAAATAATGTTTATTGGAACACAGACACTTTCATTCATTTACATATTGTCTATATTTGCTTTCATTCAACAATGGCAGAATTGAATAGTTTTGATAGAGGTCATCTGGCTCACAGAGCCTAAAATATTTACTATCTGGCCTTTTGAACACAGTTTGCCAAAACCTCATCTGGAAGATCAGTTTTCTGTGTCAAAGTTTTTACAAGTGTGGTCATTTAGACACTAGAAGTCTATTGGTTTTATCCTTACTCTTTATAGTGTTTCTGGCTTATTTAATTAATAAGCTATACCGTTTGGAAAAATAAACAGATTGAAAAATTAGTGGAAATTATGCTGCTGAGTCCATATGCTGTATTCAAAGTCAGTCATTTTTTCACAGTTAATCTTTCTAGTCATAATTCTCTGAGGGACAACGATCTTTTATGCAGTAGCTTTTTTAAGAGTGCTAGTATGACTTTTTTTTAGAGTACATTCACATCAGTTTTTATGTATGTTAGTTTGCTTCTTAACATTCAGGGCTTTAGAGTGGTGTTCCTCAACTTCTGACAAACTTTAACAGATTGGACAATAAATTTTAAAAAGTAACTGAATTCTATAAATAGCTTTTGTTCTGGTTGAAGAATATTGCTTTAAGGATCAAATGAAGATGAAATTCAGAGCTGATTCATATCTTGCATAGAGTATACCACTGAACCTAAGGCTTTCACTTCCCTATTACTTAAACACTAAAATTCTGACTGTGCATAAAGACTTAATTCATTATGTATATCATATAAAACAGCAGTGCCCTTACTCATATACTTTGGGAATAATATATGGCATTTAAAAATCACCTTTGATATTTCTTTTTCTGGTTTTTCAATCTATTTGATTTTTAAGTCTTCTCAGATCATAGCAATATCCCTAAGGTTATCTATTGCCTAAGAAAACTGATTATCCATTTGTTTTTCTTAAATGACAAAGGTATTTACCTTAGAGTCCTTTGAAAGGGTCATAAAATAAGCAGGTTTTGTTGTTTAGTGAAAAGAAGTCATCCTTTTTATATAATGAATGAAAAATCTAAGAAGATTAAGAAAAATTTGATACTTTCAAATTTCAGTGTTTATAATACTTTTATCATTTTGTAAAATTCATATATATGAATATAAATATATATGCATGTATTTGTGTGTCTGTAGATAATATGTGAGCACATAACACCTCAGAATATATATTTAATGTTTAGCACTATTCTCTAAATAATAAAATAATAAAGATTTTTAATTTAAATAGTTCATTCTAAAATTAAAAAGATCTAATTATCATATGAGACAACCTACTGTTTTATAGATGAGGAAAATCCCAGAGCCATTTGTACGCTCAGGATATAATCACAGTATCTTCTACCAACTAGATTTGTAGACTTGAAGTAGTGAATTAATTAAAGTTAGGTGACTTGCACAATGTCATAGTGTTGTTATAGCTCCTGCTCTTGAGGTTAAAATCATTATTCTAGTGGAAGACATATTTCTAATTATAAAGCATCTCATGCCAAACATATTATTTAATTATACCACACTGTCTATAGGAGCAAATGCAGTTTACTTAAGAATTCACATATATTTGTCTATTAGTATTCTTTTTAACCTATATATGATGTTATTCAACATTTTCTGATGCGTCTACTCTTGTGATAAATTTTATAGGGGTCACTGTAGGATATCATAAATAATTCTTGAGGGACTTACTAATATTAAAGATAAAATTTTGATCATATAGATGTGTAGTAGGCCAATCCTTATTAGAGACAATACATTCTCAGATTTGGAAGGACCGTGAAAAGATTCTAGGCCTTGATAAAAGGGTGCCATTTCTTTAAGACATAAATGCTTCCTTACTAAATAATGAGTAAGAGGGGCTGCCATGAATAGAAGCATAGAGGCATGAAGAAAAGAAAGTGTAATATAGATCATGAAGCCCTTTCAATATGAGAATAAGAAATTTAGTCATTGTTAGTTAATTGAGAAATTTTTGAACAAAGAAGACAAAATATCAAGAGGTTAACAAATGTAACTGAAAAGTTAGGAATTATTCTTTGTGGAAATGGTTACTGTTGGAAATGACAATTAAATACATATATTTTTATATAAAATAAATATATATATTTATTCCAGTGACTTACAGTTATCCTCTTTAAATTGCTTTCCAAAATAGCATTTTATATGCTAAATTTGTTTTACTCAGCCAGATTTTTAAGCTTTATTTATTTATATATTTTTACTCTGGAACTCTAGAAAGTTGAGAGTTCATACTCCTCTGAGTATGAGAGAATTAATCATAAATGTCATCAAAATTATTTTCATTAACATTTGACATAAGAGAAAAATGACAAAACGAAGCCCATGCTATCTTAACACCCAACAGTCAAGAGCTACAAAACCATGATAAAAAAGCTTGCCTTTTTCAATTAAGAATTATATGTTTTAATAATCTGTAAGTTTTGTGTAATGTAACTGGCAAGCTTAATATGAAAGTCAATAAATCTTAGCCCTACTATGTATTAGTATTATTGTATCTTAAACAAAACTTATATTTTAGCCTCCTATTGTAAACTTTAAGAATAGATCACTTGGGCTCTCCACAGCCAATGTAAAGATAGGGCTGTGGAACCTGTGGAATGAACTACCCAGCATTCGGCTGTAGGAATTCACAAGTCGGGGTATTGTGAATTGTAGGGACATGCATTTACCATTCTTACATTGTTTTGTATTTTGTGATTACTATATAAGAACTTTGTGGAACAGGTCAAATGATATTTTTAATTTACCTACACAGATGTACACGAAAGGAAAAGCACATGAAAAAGAAAAGAATACATAAACTGAAAGCTTCAAATGGTAAAAATGAACGCATATCCAAAACTTTCTAGGGCTTTTGTAATTGTGACATGAACCTGAAAAGCATTTGTTAGGCCATCATAGGTTATTTCAGTATGTCCTACATTCTTGCTTATAAATGTGTTGTATTTTGTTTTTTGATTCTCTAGATTGAATATCACAGCCCTTGCACAAGTTCATGACCATTTATATTGAATTATCAAGAGGTTCCCAAATAAGTGATGATCAGTCATTTTGAGACTAAAAGCTATCTATCTAGCAGACATGAATGATTGCCACCATGTCTGGATTTTTTTTTTTTTAACATATGACATTTTTTTTTTCTGAAATTAACTTACTGGAAGAGAAAGATGAATTAAAAAAAAAAAAACATCAAATTGTTCTGCCGCAATATAGATAGGAGTCTTTTGAATTGCCTGGGGAACTGAAAAATTTTATATTAAAATTTAGATGAGGATATTTGCATTAATATTATGAAGGAAAATAATCCACAGTCCTCTAAACCACCAATAAAGTCTTGTCTTCTCTACCGCTGTCACTGTACTCATACAATATAGGAACCTTTCAAATTTAGCAGAAATGTTACCAGAGGATGAAAGTGAAATATTAGGGATGAAAACACAATTGTTTTTCAGTTAGTCTAAGTTTTTCCAACAATGACGAAGCTTTTAGAGCTATCTATTTGCTTTTTCATTTCCTTCTTTATCTCCAGAAAGTATACAATGCTACTCTTACCCACTGTCCTGTCAAAAAAAAAAAAAGATTCCTATCTAAGATGGGGTTTTCTAAACCATATCAGTGGCTCATTCTAGTGTGTCATGCTGAGATTTGAATTAGGGAATAGGATCCAGGGTACCAAGTGTTCAAATTTCACGATCACTATTTCATGGTAAAGACAGATTCATTTAGAAGAATGTAAGCCACATTTTATATTTATTTCTACCTCTCTTCCCTAGTTCTTCACATCCTCCCAACCTGCCTGACAGTTGCCTTCTCTGCACACTGCTTAGCTCTATTGACTACATAAGTTCTGTGTTGCTTAACTTTCATATACAGCAAAGTCTGATGGGTAGACAGAGATTGAATGATTTAAGTTCATACCAGTTAACTGATGCCACTGCAAAGTCTAAGCTGAAAAGTCCCTGCCACATAATGTTTTATGGAACTTTCTTTATCTAAGTTGCCCCAACTTGGTGTAACAGTCTGTAATGTTGAGAACTTAGAGAACTTAAGACATAAAGTTATGTCTTTCTCTGCCCTTAGATTGTGTGGCCAGTATCTTATACCAGAAGGGATGAATGCAAGTGGGCTGGAAAAGATATCCTGGTAAGTATCAATCTACTAAATCATCTCAGTAATTGCATAAATAATCTCTTACTCTGTCATTATTTTTATTCAGTAGTGTATTAAATAAACACCATGTTTACCTGAGTACTTAATCACTTTTTAGAAACAAAAGAATATTTAATTTCGGATGTTGACATTTTTATTTAAAGAAAAGTGGGTAAGAGTAACAACATGCCTAAATAAAGCAAAAATATGTTCCCTTTGAGGATTTATATAAATGTAAACGATAATTAACAAAAGCAATTTTGCAGCATATGTACTTGTATTCAGTAAGTCACCTTCGTTGTACAAATTGGTTTTCATATGTTAATTCCTCTTGAATTCCTTTTGGATGATATGAAATTTTTCTACTTCTGAGTCACGATTAAATTACCACTCCTTCCTTTCCATTCCATTTTTTTTTTCTTTTCCTTTCCTTTCTCCTTCCTTCCTCCCTTCCTTCCACCTTCTTTCCTCCTTCCCTTTCTTCCTTCCTTCCTTCCTTCTTTCCTTTCATGCTCTGGTTTCTTAAATAAATATGGATTGAGTAATGACTATGTAACAGACATTGTCCTGGGTGCTATGGAACAAAAGGGAATGGTAAACAATCCGTACAATGGTTTTACCATTGTAAAAAGATAGAGGCCATTTTTCCTGAAGTAAACTTTGTCAGTAAAATTAAGTGGGTCACTGTTTGAGGTATAGCCAAGTATTTGCACAAACCATAAAAAGCAGTTATAATCATTTAAATCAATAAAGTAAAATGAATTACAGGATTGAAAACATACATAATTTGTATTATTTTATGTCTTAGATATTTTTGGATGTCTAAACCACAAGAAAAAAATCTAAATGTTTTGTGTATGTATTGGCATTTAGAAGAAATTTATCTTAGGTACTTAAAAACATACGTTAATGTGTATGTATATATATGTAGATATGTAGATATTTTCAAGGGACAATTTGATTGATTGGTAGCAGCTGCCCAAGATGATGTATATATTTAGAATGATTTAGAGGTGGAATCTGAGTTCATGGGGAAAAAAATGCCTCAATCTGGTAGCAGTGTTGGCAACAGGTAAAGGAAGGTAGTTAAAGGAGCACAAAGTACAGATATTCCCCATCCTTGATTAATTATATATTAGCAAACATGGGAAATTTCATCCTTGAAAATTTCATTTTAAATACAGTGTTGGTGAGTTACATTACACCTTCATAGTACGATCAACATTTTTCTGATTATGTGAAAGTGGACCCCCAAAAAAGTATATTCTATCAAATATTAAGCCATCCCAAATTGATGCATATGTTAGGACTATTGGAAAGGAGTAAATAGAAAGAACAATGAAGTAGGAGTCCAGAGAAGTCAGGAATTTTATGTTGATAACCCCAGTGACTCATTAACTGTACTTATGCAAGTACTTTTTTAAAAAATTTTTTGTTGTTATGTTAATCACCATACATTACATCATTAGTTTTGGATGTAGTGTTCCATCATTCACTGTTTGTGTATAACACCCAGTGCTCCATGCAGAACGTGCCCTCTTTAATACCCATCACCAGGCTAACCCATCCCCCCCACCCTGTACTTATGCAAGTACTTTAACTTTTGGAGTACTTTATTATTTTATCCATTACATGAGACATTACATATTTTACAATTGTGACAAACAAGATTAATAGTTTTTGTGAAAATTATTTAAAAGAAGAAAATACTTCACAAGTATAAGACAAAACGCATAACTGAATACACCAAAAATTGTTAACGTCAGAATGCCACGGTTACCATTTCTAATGAAAACATCATTAGTGTAATTAATTTGGTCCTCTTTAAAGATCATGACCACTGTAGTGTTACACTATTCTGAATTCAATTCAATTAGAAAATTAAAGATAATGCGATACTGATCTAACAAAAATATCTGGGTTTTATAATAAGCACTGTAGCCAAGTACAGAGCATATTTGATTTAATGATTGAATCAGCTCATTCAGTTGCTAAGATAGTAGATAATCTGTGGGGCGCCTGGGTGGCTCAGTCGTCAGGCGTCTGCCTCTGGCTCAGGTCCCGATCCCAGCGCTTCTCCCTCGCCCACTCCTCCTGCTTATGTTCCCTCTCTCTGCTGTCTCTCTCTCTGTCAAATAAATAAATGAAATCTTAAAAAAAAAAAGATAGTAGATAATCTTTTGTGTTTGTGGTTTCCAAAATTCACCTCAGTGCATTTCCCACATATTTTATGGCTCCGCTCTGCCCTTCCCTCCTCTCCCCTCCCACTCTGGTATCAGTACCAAACAGAGGGATTCTGGTGTTAGCCCAGGTACACTGAGTTCAGCAGCTGCAGTGAAGTCATGAGCTGCACAGTGCTATATGGGTAACCCTAATTGTGACCTCGGAGGTTTCCTCCCTAAGAAGGGCAACTTTAGTTTATTATCCAGGCTTATTGAAAATGCTTATGGGGTTTAAAGAACTAAATTAAAAAGAACGAAGACATGCAGAGTTTGCTAAGTCTGATACAAGGTATTAATGGCGCCTGATCATTTCATACTGCCTTGTAGTAGACATTCTGACAACTTAAAAATCATGTCACATACATTATGGTAGAGATAGGTAATTATGTGAGCGTTGAGAGATGTAAATTTTTGAAGGTTTAATGGTATGGCAATATTAGCCATACTAATCTTTTCAAAAAGTGAGCTAATTAATGTAACATGATAAAATGTTTGTTTGGTTATTTGGTTATTACTTTACATTCTTTTGAATTAAATCATTTGCTGTATATTTTGTTTTCTCTTTGTTAGCACTTACTTAATGAAAGAAAAACACAACAGTTTTCATGTATTTTGGTTCAAAAATGTATTTTTCCTGTAGCTCCAACTAAACACCAAACACTAAAATATATTCAATCAGTAAAATATATATTTCCTACTATTTTTTGTAACCCATCTTATTCCTTTAATAGTGCTTTTCACTGACCTATTATTCAAAATATATTTTATGCATTTCAATTGCATTTTATTAAAATTTATTTTCTTTCCAGGTACCCTCATTTATGTACTTCAATTTACATATCTATTTTATTTAAATAAAATGCATGGCATTTATTCATTATTTTGGACTTCAATATACAGTGCATTTTTTCCATTTCTTTCTTAACATGTGATTTTAGAAAATAGCAATTAGTTGACTTCCTGGATAGCATTAATATTTTTACCGATAATTCCTTAACCACTTAGAAAGAAAGACTAAGGTTAAGGAGTTTTTAAGAATTTTCATTCAATATCATTGACTTTTATAGTGACACATAGGTAGTTTGATAGAACTGCACTGTATCTTAAGTAAATAATAGCTGTGACATGTGGACAGTAATTCCTTTCAAAGAGCCCTTGTGATGCTGAAAACCACAAGAATGAGGCTTGAGTAGTTTCTGCAGCCATCAGGACTCCAAGATAGAATTGTAACCAAAATAGAAACTGACCTGAACATTTATAGAAAGGTAAACTAGTGACCTCCTTGAGTGCACGCTATGGTTTCTAGAATCTGAGTTTGCTGTTTCCCTCTGGTTTTAGTGTTTTCTTAAGAAGTCCTCTAGAAATAAAGCTGCTGTATTTTGTTAAAAGGTTTTATTCATTTAATAGAGCGTGCGAGTGAGAGAGCACAAGCATGGGGAGCATCAGAGGGAGAGGGAGAAACAAACTCCCTTCTGAGCAGGGAGCGAGCCCAATGTAGGGCTCCATCCCAGGCCCTGAGATCATGACCTGAGCCAAAGACAGATGCTTAACTGACTGAGCCACCTCGGTGCTCCAATAAAGCTAATTTAAACAAACCTTCCTGGAGGAAGTGCTGTCTTCTCAGTACTAGATTCAGATGCAAAAGTACAATAGGAAAAGTAAGGCAAAGACAGTGACTAATTTTATATATCTTGAAAGTGGATCAGTCTTAAGTCTGGTAAAGATGGTTAAGACGGCCCAGCCACCTGGGAAGTCAGGATACACCCCTAGATTGAACCTACATAGTTCCTGTCCATCCATATTTCCTTAGCCTACATAGTTCACCAAATGTAGCTTCATACAAAAAATTGAGCCCCTTCCCATTCTCCCAGGCAGCTAGAAAGATACAGACCATCATTTCTTATGGCTCAGTTTTGTATCAAACACATATGTTAAATCAGCAGCTGGAATTCAAGCAGCGATTCCACAAAGATGGACTTTGTGGTAAAGAGGGAATCTGCAACCTGGGAGACATTTATATTTCCTTTCTTTCCACATGTATGTGTAGATGGAGGGAGAGAGAGAATATAAATGGGCCTTAGGCTGCTGATAATGACTTCTGACAACATCATTAATCTATGTTTATTTTTTCCCTTTGTGGAAGTGAATATACCAGATATATACTAATATGCTTTCTTGGTGTAGTAGGTTCTACACTTTTATATTGTTGTGGCGTTTCTATATTAGGGGGTTAAGTGCTTGTGAACTTCTCCATTGTTGTAACTGGAGAGTTGTAATTTGAAAAAAAAATTATATATAATATTATTGGACAGAGTCCCTGAACAAGGAGATAAATGCAATCCAGATATCTCTATTCTGACTTCTATTATTCACCTTTACTTTCATTTTTGATATTTTTCTGGCCCTTAAAATCCACTTTGTTATTCACAATAACATTTCTATTGAGGGATTAACTTCCTTGACCCTGTTTTGCAAATGAAAACTGAATACATGCTAAGCTGGTAAAAGAATCTGTTTCGAATCAATAGCTCTCTGTATCTTCTTTGTTTATCCTACTAAACCATCTCTCTTTGCACTAAGTTTCAATAAAACCAAATGGCAACCGTATGACTGTTAGAAATATTTTGAACATCACTGGAAATCAAAATTTCAACCATCTGAGATGAACAAAAAAAAGCAGATTCTCATAACATTGCTATTGTTGGATACATTTCAAAGCGTATTGTCATGCACCTGAATTTTGGGACATTTTTGCAATTCTTGAGGGATTTA